CATATCTTACATGCCATATCTTACATGCCATATCTTACATGCCATATCTTACATGCCATATCTTACATGCCATATCTTACATGCCATATCTTACATGCCATATCTTACATGCCATATCTTACATGCCATATCTTACATGCCATATCTTACATCCCATATCTTACATGCAGTATCTTACATGCCATATCTTACATGCAATATCTTTCATGCCATATCTTACATGCCATATCTTACATGCCATATCTTACATGCCATATCTTAAAAGCAATATCTTAAATGCAATATCTTAAATTCCATATCTTACATGCACTATCTTGCATGCCATATCTAACATGCACTATCTTGCATGCCATATCTTACATGCCATATCTTAAATGCCATATGGTACATGCCATATCTTACATGCCATATATCTTACATGCCATATCTTACATGCCATATCTTACACGCCATATCTTGCATGCCATATCTTACACGCCATATCTTACATTCCATATCAATCATTTCTTAGTTCGAGCCTTACTAAAAATAGAATGCAATTTTACCACATTTTGGATGTTTCAGTGATTCAAATTTAAAAAGAAATGCATACATTTATAGTGAATTCATGCAGCTGAAATTGTTTATTAGGCCAGTGGGCCTTTAAAAAATAATTCTCACAAGACAGCTCTGCTTGTAAGCATATTTATGCATACGAGATGCCCCCCCCCCTCAAATATGACATCATAACACCTATGTTCCCGATCAGATTAATGTTAATTAAACAATCCTTAAAAACAAAGTCTCTCGTAAAAATCCTTTAAAGGAAGTTTTTGTTATTTTATTTTATATTAAAATTCTAATATGTCACCAGCTACTACACTGCAGATTTATAACTCCAACTATTTCCGTAAAACGAAAGAAAATATTACGCACCAAACACCCTTGCGATATTTTTTGAGAATATCATGAGCGTTTTTATGGGAGCCTTTCTTCGGGAAATCAGTGGCAGAGGCGTAGTGAAGGGGGGGGGCAGATGTCCCCGGGCGCCAGCTAATTAGGGGCGCCAAAATGTGCTTTGATATTAATTTCATGGATGAAAATAATGGGTTTTGAGAGTTGAAAAAAGAAAAGGGGGCGCTTTAAAATGAATCTCGTCCCCGGGCGCCAAACGCTCTCGCTACGCCTCTGATCAGGGGACCCTGCCCTAAGCCTAAGGCGCTAAGCCTAAACTAAAAGGGGCTGTAACCTTATTTGCTTTTTGGGTTAATTCGGCACTGTTCCTATTAGTGTCAATGCATGTTAAATAACTATTTCCTTTGAACAGTAAGCAATATTTTATTCATTTATAATACATTTAACTTGAGAATACATTTAAAATATCAAATTTTTCAATACTCATAATTTAAATGTACCAAAATATCTTGGAGCTATTTTGGATATTATTTTTTTGTAAACAATGCACTGAAACTGATAAAAAATTAGGATCGGACAAAATTACGGTTTACAAAGAAAAGTGCTCTCGTTCGACGTAACTGAACTGTCATGTTTGAGGTATTAATAGTAATATAATTTAGATTTTGTTTTTAAATTTAAAAACAACAACAACCAAAGCTCTTAGCCTAACTTTACTTCTAGATTTATTATCTTTTTAATTTTAATCCCACTCTGCAGTCTGATTGACTGATTCATTGGCATTCATTGGTCATTGGTCTTGGTCATTGAGATTGATTGAAATGATTGAGTTGACAGTTGATTCTGAATACTCTGCTGAGTCTGAGTCAAATGAGTCTGTCTCCTGAGTGACTGTACTGTGCTGATTGATACTGATAATTAATAATAATACTAATACATGTATTAATAATTAATATTAAATTATAATAATTTTATTATTAAATATTAATCAATGATAAGTAGGGGTGTGCCGGAATCCGGTTCCGCCGGATTTTGCACTATCCGGTGAAATCCGGTTCCGCCGGATTTACATGTATCAGGAACATCCGGAATATACCAGATTTCGGAATTTGCCAGATTTTGTGACTCACCGGATCATAATCTGAAATAAAAGTAATTCTCTTTCCCGAATTCCACACGATCACGATACATTAATCGATTGTTTCGAGCGTTGAGCTTGTTTAATGTTTAATATTCCGAACATACCAGAGGCTAGAGTCAGCACCGCTAATAGTGGCCAATAGTGTAGGGACTTTGATAAGAAAATTTAAACTTTTTGTAAAAATAAACCAATGGCATAGTTGAAAAGATGTAATTTTTTAAAGAATTATAACACCAAAATCATATTTTTAGCTGTTGTAGTTTTAAAGTTATGAATTTTTAAAGTACGACTTGGTTTGTCATTTTTTAACATGGACTGCATCTCCACATTCTGTGATCTCATTCCACCAATCCCGTCATGCGCAATGACTATATAGTTTATATAAGGCAACGCATTCCCTGCCTTATCACTAAAATACTGTTTAGACTTAGTTTAAACTTTCAACTTTGGCACATGAATAATTAATTAAAGCTTTCCCTGACCAATGGTTTAATAGTTTTTGCACACGGCAAACTCTTATGAATGAAACTCTGAGGTAGTACTACGATACAGTTATGCAAGTGGCTGTGAATGGTTGCCAATGACAACGTGTTGCACACGGTAAATTCTGATCATTTATAATATGGATTCTACCGGGTTGTTAAAGCTCAAATTAAAACATTCCAGTTTAAATGTCTTTAAATGCATTCTGAAACACAAGTTATCAATTATTTTGATGTAAATAGTGATAATAAATTAATATTTCCTAAGTATCGTCAACTTCCGCCATTAAAAAGGGGGGCGTGGCCAACCCCATGGCGAAATTAGGTTGAGCGAGCTGCATGACCTGCTGCGAACGCGTAGAAACATGGCGTCTCTCGTAAGACACTTATCGCTGTGAAAATTGGCATACATGTAGATCAATAGATTCCCCAGATGCAAAAAAAATTTGGTAGTGACAAATTTTTTCCTTCGACTTAATTTTAATGATGAAAGTTGCCTTATATTTACCAAGGATTTTCTCAAAGCTGACTGATTGTAAATGAAAAAGTAATTGATTAAAATGTAGGCCAAGATGTCTACCTAATTATAAGGCCGAAAACGGAACTCAAATATATATCGAAAGTACTAATTTAATAATAAATAGACACACACATCGGAAAATTAAAAACTCAGATTTTTTGGCGCCGATTGCGAATTCCCATACACAAAAAGTAGTAGTCTACCTTGACTTACCGAAGTATCTACCAATAGTACCAAAATCCGGAATCCGGGAGAAACCGGAATCCGGATTATTCCTGAATCCGGATCCGGAGGATTTCGCATAAGAAAATCCGGATCCGGTTGGAAAAAACAGATCCAGCACACCCCTAATGATAAGGGCCGGCAATCCTCCAACAAATAGCAAATAATCCATACCTTGGAATTCTTTTCTCAAATAACCTAAAATGGTCACCCCATATATTATAAACAAAATTTCAAAAAAGCCAACTCCACCCTACGTTTCATCCGCTGAAATCTGCGCCACTTCCTGCAAACGAAATGCCAATCCCGCACTCGTCTGTCCACTACTAGAATATGGTGCGATCATCTGGGACCCACACCTTAAGCAAGACGTGGACAAGATAGAGCGAATTCAATGTAACGCTGTGCGTTTTATCACTCGAGACTACAAATCCACCACTTCTGGCTTCGTCACTGGCCTCTTAAAAAGATTTGACAATAAAAAAATTTCACCCCCCCCCCCCCCCCCCTTAAAGACAGACGAGAGAGACTCCGCCTGATATTCTTATATAAAGTGGTCATGGGACTGGTGTCGGCCATCCCAGCAGACACGTACCTCACCCCACAGAAGCCGGGTAGACTGATCAGAACAAAACACTTACTGAACACTGACTTCACCACTGACAATCTCATAAACAATTACACCTGAAACAGCAGCAAATGCTTCAAAGTGCCTCAGGGCAACACAGTGCAGTCTAAACAATCTTTCTTCCCACGCACAATAATACCATGGAACCTCCTGGACGATGCCACTGTGAACTCGACATCGGTCGAAAGCTTCAAGGCTGCCCTGGCATCTGCTAGGAGCTGTTTGACTAGCAACATCATACCCCCAACCTTTGCAAGGATGCCAGTACATGGATGCAGCAACGAACACTTCCAGAACCAGAACCGGCGCTAGGGGATTGCGAAGTGGGTGACCACCCAAAGCCCCGCATTTTCGAGGACCGCGCTATGCCGTACTGTCTATTATTATATTATTATAATATACCTACCTAAGCCTACTTTTAGTTACTAATAGTTAGTATAGTTCCTAATCCAGTCAAAACAATATTCAGAGTTATTAGATAGTCAAATGGTCTGAAGGTCAGTCTGGCTCCTATACTATCCCTTCGAGATGAAAAATGACGACCATTTCCATATAAAATTTTTCTCCTATATTTTGTAGTCAGAATATAACGTGTCTTAATATCCTATCGGTGGAATATATAACGTCAACGGCCCCACAAAATTCAATTTTCCCAAGGCCTCGCACCCTCCTAGCGCCAGCCCTACCATGATTAAATTTTTAAAAAAGATTGAAATAGTAAATTGTTCAGACTCAGATAGTTGGTATTTAACGGTTTCCTTATAAAAATTATTAAAATATTACAGTGGTGAGTTGTCTATAGCAAACTTTACATTTTAAAAAAAGGAAACCAGAAACAATAAACTTTTCTAGCTAATAAATTCTAGACCAGGGGTGGCCAACCTATTCAGCAGGCGGGCCAAATTTCAGAAATAATATTTCCTTCCGGGCCACACACCTAATTTTTTTGTTAATTGACGTAAACAAGCAAGTGTGCTACAGCTTTGACCACCTCCTGGCTTCTTAGTACGTGTGATTGGGGTCAAATGCTTGCCTGGTTTAATGTAAAAAAAACAAGTAATAGGTATAATTATTTTTTTGAAGAAAATAAAATATAACTGAAACATATTTATTAGACTTTTAAAAAAATACTTAAAAGTGAGACATCTGACTTTGTTTTGCAGAACTAAGTGCATCAAAATTGATCTCGACTGATGTTGTCATTACAGGCAAAAAGTTTTCCAAATGAACATCAGTAATTCGTGTTCTCACTTGTGTGATTTGATGTGCTTCATTTCATACGACTAAAAATCTGTTCACACACATAAGTGTGAAACCAAATAGCAAAACCATTGAAGGAGCATGTTTGTAAAACACAGGATATTTATCCTTGTCCAAATACGTTTTAAAGAATTCTTCCAAACCAACTTGATGGAATTTCTCCTTGAACTGTGTATAACAACACATTTGTAATCTTCTTGGTAATAAAATCACGTCTACTGCAAATGGCATTGCAAATTCACAAAAAGCACATGATTTTGTTAAAAATCCTGTAATCTTTTTTCAAATTTGAGGTTAAAGTAGGATATCAAACAAGCGTATTTATCCGCCACCTCCTGTGTGACGTCTAATTGCAATGACAACGTAGGAAAGTGAGTAAAGTTTGTTGTCCTCAACTTTTGTTCCCAAAGACCCAGTTTCATTTGAAGTGCAGAAATACATCTTATTAATCAATTGATCTTTCCCTGGTAGACGAGTATTGACGTCATTTAGGTGGCTAGTTATATCGACTAGAAATGCGAAGTCCCAAACCCACTCTTTTTCTTCAAATGCGGGGACACTTATTGACTTGCTTGCAAAGAATGATTGTATTTCTTGCTGCAAATCAAACACTCTTTTCAACATTTAGCATGAATCAGCCATCTTACTTCTTCAAAAATTGTAACGTCACTCTAAAGACTTTAGAAGTTCTTGGAACTGACGGTGATTCAACCTGTTTGACTTAATGAAGATCATTATTTTGACAACCACTGACATGGTCCATTTTGAGGGACTACGAACATAAATTCTCCTGATGAATAATGCAATGAAAATTTAGCATTGAAGTATTGCCGACTTTGGAGGCCTCAATTTCAATAAATTTGACTAAACCTTTGTCTTTCCCAACAAATGCTTGAGCATCTTCCGTTGTTAAGCCTTAAAGTTGTTGCTTTGTAACGAAAAGTGATTCAATGTCGATGTAACTGTCTCTGACAAATCTCATGACTTAGTAGTGTCCTTAAGTAGATACAGTGCCGCTAATTCTTCTGTCTTTTTAAAATGGACATCAACACCCCTGATAAAAATGGCCAGCTGGGCAGTGTTTGCCATATCTGTGCTTTCATCCAATGTTACAGCATAAAATATAAATGCGGATGCTGGACTTTTCAAATTTTCTTCAATATGTTTTCAAATGTCGTCCACTAATTTAATTTTCCCAAAAATGTAGAATAATTAAAATAGCTCAAAACAGATAAATTTTTTACAAAATGCGAGATATTTCAATTTCTAATAGCAAAAATGTAAAAAAATATATGATATGAACGCCTCATGATGTAATGTTCTTTCGGTGATATGTACATTAAAGTTAACATTTATGTTCATTTGACCTAGCTCTGCGGGCCGCAACATGACACTTGGCGGGTTGCATGCGGCCCGCTGGCCTCTTATTGGCCACCCCTGTTCTAGACTTTAGTACTTTTTGAGCTATTAATTTTTAAGTTTGACTCCAGTTTCAATGAGACTGAGTGCACAGTACTCCTAGTATCTAGCTCTACTATCTCTACTCAGTGATTGAGTGGCAGTACTCTTATACAGAAATTTATAGGCCTAGGCTGTCTTAGTCTTAAATACCCTATAACTCTGACTGGAGTATTTTTCTGTAGGGCTAAATTATTAGGCCAAATAATCAGTCATAACTGTCGGGTGGCTTTTGGAGGCCCTCTGCCACTTTTCAGTTTTGGCCCCCTTCATTTAAAAATAATAATTTATTTTGCATTAGTAGTTTATGTAACTTAACATTTTAAATTTATAGCAATAAAATTAAAGGTTACCACATTTCAAAATATTTACTGGTAATGGTTCACTCAAAGATGAATTCTGGGCTCTTTGCGGCTGGCCAAAGATAAACCATAAAGTCTGCCCTGTTCCATGGTTGAGTCTTAATGGGATTTGATGACCTTCATTTAAGAGACCAAATTATTCCTTTAGTGAAGAATACTAATATATTATTAAGGTCAAAACAGCACATCTGTCCTGGAAACTGTATTTTCTAATTTATCAATCTGTTAAATGATAAAGCACTTTGAATCCAATCAATTACACTAATGGCAGCTCATCTTCAGTCACTGAGTGATGACTATTACGATTAGTTAAAACCTAGGGATGGCATAATAATCAGTCATTGAAATTGACATGTAAACTTTTAAACAGATTATTGAGTGGAGCCTAAACTGTACTTACATTTTTATTAATAAAATGCAGCATTTAAAAATAATCTAAGAAATTCTGCTTGTGGTGAGTTTTTCATTTTTTTACTTTTATTATTTCATTTTGACGAATGTTCTTTTTTTATTCAGGAAGTTTTTTCAGTTAACTGATTTATTTTTTGTTGTATACTTTCCCAGCTTTAACATACCTCAAATGATGTATTCTTTATCCATACTACATCGACCTAAAAAACCAACAGTTACTCATTTGCTGACCTTTGATATCAACCACCTTAGTTTTGGTGTCTTGTTTTCCTTCACTTTTTCTCCCCGTATTTCTTTCAACATGGTCTGAATTAAAGTAATTGGTATTTAGAATTTAACACATTTTTTTTCATTTTCAATGTTTGATAAAAGTAAAAATAAAAATTGTGCCCCTTCTTTTTTTTTTTTAACCACCACCACTTGCTTAACTTTGGGCCCCTTAACCAACTGTTTGGCCCCCTGAAGCTGAGGTGTTCCGCAGCGGCTCTGCAAATTATAAGACTTAATCCGTAATGATTGATGTCAGGGAGACACGATAATGCCAACATAATTCTAGGCCTTGGGTATAATTAGACAACTCAACATTTCTCATCTACTTCTACCATTAGAATTTCTAATTTAACTACAAATCATCATTAATCTTATTTAAATAAAAAAATAAGATTTTGCTATCTTTAGATTCTTTGATTTAATCAGCAGAAAAAAAACACATTGAAAAGCATGACACAGAGCAACAGTGAAATGTTCTCTATATCATGCATGTTCTTCTTTAAGAGTCTAGGTCAGTGGTTAACAGGTGTGTCATAAGATACATATATAAACAAAAATAAATATTGAAGTACACAATTATATACAGTGTGGTCATTGTTACCTAAAAATTATATGTAAATGGTATGATCCCTATAAACTTATGTAATAATTATTTTCTTGCAGACTGCTTCTTACTAGAACAGTCTATATTTTTTAAAGCTTAAACGGTGTATCACAGATCTTGAAAAATTAGTTAAGTGTTAAGTTAAAAAAATTGTTGAGAACTGCTGGTCTAAGTTAACAGTTACTTTCAGATACCATTGTCCTTGCCATTCTCATACATTGACATTGGAAGTTTTTTTTATGTACCTTACTAGACTGAAAATATAAATCAAACTAATATGAAAAATATTCAGTAGCCATAGTGGTAGGATGCCCTGTATTAGTCCACCTGTTGTAAATTTTGTATGGAACTTTTCTTCTGTTAAATACAAAATTTTAACAATTATTTATTAATGTTTTTTCTTTATAGGACGTTAGAACTAGAAGTGTACAAGCCACTCAGGCAGCAGAAGAATTTTCTAAGTTATATTTTGAGACATTCGATAAAAGAAGACAGGTATATTGAAGTTATTTTAGTCTCTGCAATACTGGTTTAACTCCCATTAAGTTTTATTATAAAACATGTAATCAATGGGAGTAGTTTTTTTATCAATAGTACCGGTACCCAGGTATTAAATGGTTCAAGTTAAACTGGAGTATTTATTATCCTTATTATTTTGTAAAATAATGCCAAATAATATGATGAATTTATAGCATAATTTATAATTATAATCTTTTTTCTAAGTAAACAGTCATTTATTGATTAAGCATTGCATTTTTCTTCATGACCTGCAGGCAATCTGTAAGATATATCAAGATAAGGCTACTGTAGTATGGAATGGCAATGCTGTGTCAGGAACAGAGGAGATCACGAAATTTTTTGATAGTTTACCACAATCTGAGTTTGTGACAGAAGGAATGGACACACAACCTATTGGTGCTGGTTAGTCCATTTCTCATAACCCTCGTGGACTGTGTGATTTTGATCCAACATATCCCCTTGAACTGATTTGACTATACGCACACATCTATTTCGCAAACACCTGCTGGGGTGATGTTGTCTACCATCTTTTCCAGCTAGCTATTATTTCCTAGATGTATATTGGCTTGTGTTGTTTATGGTTGCAAGGGGTTGAAAGACTTTGAAGGGGTATGCTCATTTGTAGCTTTTGTAGTGTTGCGTTTTGAGTTTCAATGTGGTAAAATATAGATTGTTTCATTTCTCTTTTAATATGGTTGACTTTGTACTGGGCTTGGAGCCTTGGGGATGAAGCAGGATTTTTTAAAAATAAACTTTATTATTATTGTATATGGGACAAGAAAACTGAAAAAGGCAAAATATCACTGTGGATTAGTTTAAAAAATATAAGTATTGGGTCATTGATCAAGAGTTTGAAAAAATAAGTTATCATTAATCATGTCATTAAAAAACTTAAGGATAGTGGATATCGCTAAACTAAAAAGTTGAATCTTAAAGTGGTACTTGGTAGAGATATATTAATAAATTTTTACTCAATTGTGTTAGACATTAAGGCAATTATTTAAAAATGTTACAGCATGCTTGTAATTAATTAAAATAAAAAGGGATGGAAATCATTTTAAAATAAATTATTTCCCTTGCTTACCAAACCCTTTTTTAAAACATGTTTATAATTTATATAAATACTAATTATAATGCTTTGATATATAAGTTTCTTTGATCTTATATCTCGTCACTTCCATTTCACAGGTATTCAGAATGAAGGAAGCAATGCTATAATGGTGACCTTCTATGGGAAGGTGAAATTTGCAGGCTCTAATTTCAAGACGTTTACACAAACATTTATCTTATCAGCACATGATAACAAGTGGAAAATTGTTAGTGATAATTTTAGGTTTACAGAATAAATTAATTTCATTGATTCTACTTTTCCGTATTATTTTAATAAGACAGTATATCCTCATAAACCTTAGTGTGAATGAATTCTTAACGCCTTAAGTCAGAGGTTCCCAAACTGTAGGCTGCAGTGCCCTGTAGAGTCAAGGCTGCCTCACAGGTGCAGTGAAGTGTATGATGTAAAGTGGCATGACATTTAGTGGACTGGATGCAGTAACCCCTCAAAATAAATGTTTGCAGAAGCTTTTTCAATAAGTTACTAGATGGCGCTCCATTATAATTACGTTTTTCAATTGTCCTAGTTGTTTCTTGGACTTATTTGGTAGTTATTTTTATATTATGATAGTTTTCAGTTTTGTACTGTCTTCATGATGAAATGATTTTTGACGGTTGTATAAACTAAATAGTGTTGTGATTAATTGGAGGGTTATTGTAATATTTCTTTTCGTTGGTAGTTACAAAAACTTTCTCTTTTTTAACTAACGAGAGTCAGAGAGAGTGAAAATCAATTAGTTGATTTTTTAAATTTCACTATTTCTCAGCACACTTTTTAAAATTTGACATATGGCCCTTTGTGGAAAAAGTGGTTGTAACAAATGCGCACAGGACCCCAAAAATTTAGGAACCTCTGCTTAAAGTACAATATGTCTCGCCTATGAAACCATCTTTAAGTACAATAGGTCTCACTCATGACACCATCTATATATGATTCATTCTCTTGTAGGTCTAGATATGATTCATTCTCTTGTTGATCTAAATATGATTCATTCTCTTGTTGATGTAAATATGATTCATTCTCTTGTTGATCTAAATATGATTCATTCTCTTGTAGGTCTAGATATGATTCATTCTCTTTTAGATTTAAATAGGATTTATTCTCTTGTAGGTCTAGATATGATTCATTCTCTTTTAGATCTAAATAGGATTTATTCTCTTGTAGGTCTAGATATGATTCATTCTCTTGTAGGTCTAGATATGATTCATTCTCTTTTAGATCTAAATAGGATTTATTCTCTTGTAGGTCTAGATATGATTCATTCTCTTTTAGATCTAAATAGGATTTATTCTCTTGTAGGTCTAGATATGATTCATTCTCTTTTAGATCTAAATAGGATTCATTCTCTTGTTGATCTAAATAGGATTTATTCTCCTGTAGGGTCTACACTCATATGACCTTAGCTAGCTTAGCAGAGGCAAGACTCATCAGGTAGGCTTTGCAATACATGAGTCAATTATGACAGGCTTATATTGTGGACCCTCCAATCCACCCCTTATTTGGGTTACTTCAATTATCTGTTCTACTGTTTCAGTGGGAAGGCCACGGTGTCAGTAGTTTGGGCCCCAACGTGAGTCGAGTCTATCCAGGTAGTTTTTGTGTTGGGCAGTGTTCAGTCCACATAAAACCATCTATAAAGCAAAATATGTCTCCAATTTTACTCTAGGCGTTCACACGAAGGAAAGGTTCAAGTTATCGAAACTTCATGGCACCTACATTTTAAAACTATATTGTGGTGGCTGAGTGGGAAGGCAAACAGTTTAAAGAAAGTTAGGAATGTTAATGTTCTGAATGAGGATTCATGCAGATTTAACTATGGTATTTACTGCATCAGATTACCAGAGAAATCTCAAACAACTGAGTTGGTCAACTCTGGCATTTAAACCTAAATCGAGATATCATTTAAATCTAAAACAGTTGAGTTGGTCAACTCCGGCATTTAAACATAGACTTTGATAGAGATATCATTTAAAAAAGTTTTTTTAATGAAGTGTATAATAAATCAGGTCTGAGACAGGAATGTAAGATCAAAGCTTGGATTACATACCTAAATCTTCCTGAGACAGGAATATAAGATCAAAGCTTGGATCACATACCTGAATCTTCCTGAGACAGGAATGTAAGATCAAAGCTTGGATCACATACCTAAATCTTCCTGAGACAGGAATGTAAGATCAAAGCTTGGATCACATACCTAAATCTTCCTGAGACAGGAACGTAAGATCAAAGCTTGGATCACATACCTAAATCTTCCTGAGACAGGAATATGGGATCAAAGCTTGGATCACATACCTAAATCTTCCTGAGACAGGACTATAAGATTAAAGCTTGAATCACATACCTGAATCTTCCTGAGACAGGAATATGAGATCAAAGCTTGGATCACATACCTAAATCTTCCTGAGACAGGAATATGAGATCAAAGCTTGGATCACATACCTAAATCTTCCTGAGACAGGAATGTAAGATCAAAGCTTGGATCAGACTAAATATTCCACTGGGTCATTGAAAAATGTTTCATTAAAATGTACCTGGGGAAGAAAACAGTTGTATACCCACACGTTTGCATGTGTTGCTATCACTATCATACATGCTATTCGCCCACAACTTCGTATGTTTTGCTATCAAACATGCTATTGGCCCACAGCATTGCATGTGTTTCTATCATACATGCTATTAGTTCACCACATTGCACGTGTTACTAATCATAGATGCTATTAGTTCACCACATTGCACGTGTTGCTATCATACATGCTATTAGTTCACCACATTGCACGTCTTGCTATCATAGATGCTATTAGTTCACCACATTGCACGTGTTGCTATCATACATGCTATTAGTTCACCACATTGCACGTCTTGCTATCATACATGCTATTAGTTCACCACATTGCACGTGTTGCTAAAGTTGTTGATAAAATATCGAGTAAGTCTCTAGCAAAAAAGGAAACTTTAAGCTATGTCGAGCCTGAGATATTAAGCTGCCTACAACTGCAGAACACAATATATACCGGTATTCTAATATGAATTCATATGTTTACACCAGAATGCTCATTGCCTCAATGTCATAGAATGCATTTTACGAGGAGGCCTTCAATCTTAATTGGCGTAGTAGTTAGGTCATTTGCAAGGGACAGGGCTGTTACAAGGTTCGTTATTCTCCTTAACCCTGGTAAATTATACCTGTTGTCTTTTTCTGTGCCTTTTCAACTCTCACTTGCACACAGGCCATTAACAATTTTTATTCCAAGCCTTCCGGTCTCTTCACTGCCTTCTCTAACTCTTTCTAATCTTTATTACTACCGGGTACATCCTTGTCGACATATCGTTGCCAGGCGTTTTTGGCTCATCCGCGTCCTTTTGAAGCTTGTGGGTTCCATACCAGTGCTTGTCTCGTTATATTTGTCATGGGTTTTCTCGTGGTATTACTTATCCATCACAACTTTCGTTTCCGAAATTATTGCTTCACTGCTCCTTATTATTTGCTATTGAAGTCGATGTTTCATTCTCCTTTCCTCTCATACTGCTCGGGGTCTTCATTGACTTTCCTCTCATACTGCCCAGGGTCTTCATTGACTTTCCTCTCATACTGCCCAGGGTCTTCATTGACTTTCCTCTCATACTGGCCAGGGTCTACATTGACTTTCCTCCCATACTGGCCATGGTCTTCATTGACTTTCCTCTCATACTGCCCAGGGTCTTCATTGACTTTCCTCCCATACTGCCCAGGGTCTTCATTGACTTTCCTCCCATACTGCCCAGGGTCTTCATTGACTTTCCTCTCATACTGGCCATGGTCTTCATTGACTTTCCTCCCATACTGCCCAGGGTCTTCATTGACTTTCCTCCCATACTGCCCAGGGTCTTCATTGACTTTCCTCTCATACTGGCCATGGTCTTCATTGACTTTCCTCTCATACTGCCCAGGGTCTTCATTGACTTTCCTCTCATACTGCCCAGGGTCTACATTGACTTTCCTCTCATACTGCCCAGGGTCTACATTGACTTTCCTCCCATACTGCCCAGGGTCTTCATTGACTTTCCTCTCATACTGCCCAGGGTCTTCATTGACTTTCCTCTCATACTGCCCAGGGTCTTCATTGACTTTCCTCTCATACTGCCCAGGGTCTTCATTGACTTTCCTCTCATACTGCCCAGGGTCTTCATTGACTTTCCTCTCATACTGCCCAGGGTCTTCATTGACTTTCCTCTCATACTGCCCAGGGTCTTCATTGACTTTCCTCTCATACTGCCCAGGGTCTTCATTGACTTTCCTCTCATACTGCCCAGGGTCTTCATTGACTTTCCTCTCATACTGCCCAGGGTCTTCATTGACTTTCCTCTCATACTGCCCAGGGTCTTCATTGACTTTCCTCTCATACTGCCCAGGGTCTTCATTTACCTTTTACCTTTATTAGAAATCTACAAAACAATGATTTTTCTTCTCCTCTTCTATATCTTAAGGGCCCACGATCAATTTATTGATCATTTTGGCTCCTATGCATGTAGATGGGATTTGCAATGTTTCTGTTACTGGTGGTGATGAGGAAATTATGCACTAGGGGTTTGAAGGCT